AAGTTTGTTTTTTTTAAAAAAACATCTCAGTTCGTAAATGTTGGTTTTCTATTTCCCGTTATTTATTCCGTCCAATACTTCTTTGTTTTGGAACTTTGCAAAAATTAATTCAGTGCCTGGAACCAATAGAAATCCTTTGTTTTTTCGTTTTGTTTTTTGGTCAACCGGATGTCTGACACGTGTGGAAATCCATCACCCGCGTTTAAGCGTCTCCAAACCAAGCCGAGATTTCCATGCTGAGATCCTAATATTCCATTGCCAGGCATGTCATCTTGGAGCCAATTCACTTTCCTTCACCCTCCCCCACCCAACCACCCAGCCCCCACCCAAGGAGGATAGGAACAGAAATCCTGACGTGAACAAAGTTTCTTTCCTAACTTGAAATGTTCTTAACTGGGTATGACACTGGGTATTGTAGGTAAGGACGTTTTATGTCAATCAACACCTTTGAATAGGAGCTGGATCAGAATGTGGTTAAGAATGGGTGGATGGACGGGAAGTTACAAGGAGAAGCACAAATTATCCATGTTTCCTGTGCTAATGGGACCATGCAAATATCATCTTTGGAATGCAGTTAGCCAGTGTTGAATAATGCAGCATTGTGTTAGATTAACATCTTGGAGTTTCACCAGATTGCTTTGGGATCAGAGAACATGCGAGTTCCTGGAAGCTTTATCTGCAGGGACTACCCTCCCCTGAGTACTCTCGTGAGTGTGAATTATGCACATTTTGTTGATGATAATAATAATTATACTATTATTACCATGTTGATAAAAGTGGGTTCGGTGGGCTGAATGGCATTTTCTAATTCCATATTTACTTTTTTTAATCTTTTATCTCCTAATAGCAATAGTTCTTATTTCATGTTCCTCAGCATAATAATAATAAGCCTTGGATTTGATACAGCGCCTTATCACGTCTTCGAGACGTCTCAAAGCACTTCACAGAATATACTGTCAAGTATATTTTATCGGCGAAACACATAAGGGAAGGCCAGTCTGTAAAACTTTGCATTTGCCTAAGAAAGAACAACTGATAGCTCAAAGCGTTTCACAGGATGTTCTGTAGAGTGTCTACGACAGTATTTTCTGGGCGAACGTGGGAGCCAATCTGAGCAACTTTTGTTCCTCAACTGCGTTGCCTCGAAGCCTAAAGTGAAGTGGCGTCTGTGGAAATGAAATGAATGGACAGAAGGATTAGTGAAAACAAAACTACAATAGGAGAAATGGTTTTCCCTGTGCCCCCGAGCCGGTGAAAGTGCTCCATCAAGAGCTGTTAAGGAGGTTCAGCTAATTCAGGAACATGGGTGAGGAACACAGATAAGAAATAACAATATTAACGATAGGGTTTTTTTTAAAAACAAAAAGGACAAGGAACGAAATAAGCAGTAGGAAGGTTTAAACCAGTGAAGGAAGTTAGAAAAAATGGAGGCGAGAATCAATCGTACCTTGAAAAAAATTAATTAATGGAAAGGGCATCGACATGACTAAAGTGAACACTTGTAAGTCAAGACATAGTTGTAGATATCATAAACATTTAAAGCTTCTCTGACGCTGGATTTGGTAAAGCATTCAAAGCCAGGAATAAAACTTAGGCACCCAGACTATAATAATAATAATAATCCTTGCATTTTATATGGTGCTTTGTTACAACTTTGAGACGTCTCAAAGCTTTTCACTATGTCAATCCCAGACTCCAATCCTGCTCTGCGCTGTATTTGCTGATGTCAGCTAATGGCATCAGTGGCTTTGGGATAAGGAGGGGAAAGAATTCAGTCAGAGACCTTCAGTTTTGTGGCGCTTCCAACTCCAAACACTCATTGGCGCAGAGAATGGGTCGGTGAGTGTCAGACTTGCCTTTCCCTGGTCTTCACTTTATGAACTCGGCGAGGTATTCAGGAAACCTTGCGAGCGAGGGAAGGAGGGAAGGAGGGAGGGAGGGAGAAAGAAAAAGGCCCTGCGTAATTTCGCTATGTGGTGTTGTGTTGGTTTCAGTGCTGAAACCTTGGAACCTTTGTTGGTCACGGTGTGCGACACGCGAGGCTGGGCTCAATAGTTTGATGGGTTGCTTCGGAGACTCCTTCGACGCGAAGGTATTTTTGCCCCACAGCTTGTTCTGATTTCATCTTAAATTTATAAAACCTGCGAATCTATTCCCTCAAGCCGCTCACCAGCACTGGCTTTTGATCTTTCCATCATTTGAGCTTTCTAGCTTTGTATTGTATAGCAGTGTTTATTCGTGTTGAGGTGGGGAGGCAGAGAGAGAGAGAGAAAGAAAGAAAAATTACATCATTTTAGGAACTGGAAATGTAACGCGGTGAAACGTGGGCAGAGAGTGAAAAGGGGAATAAAACTTTGTTGTGTAAAAATGCAAATTCAAAACTGTTGCAGTAGTCAATATGGGGGCCCTAAGTTAATGAATATTGCACATCCTTTGCACACGTCTAATCTGTAGTTCCAAAATGAGAGTCTCAGAAGGGTTGAATTGTGCAGCTGCTTGATGTAATCCAAATTTATTATTACTCCACGTCCTACAAAAGAAAAGTTTATAGATTGTTGTGTTTGAAGTACAAATAATCCCAGGGGGTTTTATGTTTGTTTGATATCCCGTCAAACGTTTGAAATATTTACATTCAGTTTCTGTCTGGGCCTCAAGAGGTGGAGGTAAAAACAGCAGCCAGTATTAGAGCACTACAGACCAGAGGGATGTGAATTTAACCACTAACCCACCCACCTCTTCTGTCCTCTGTGTTGAGTTACCTGAGTTTAGCTGGGTCTGCGTTGAGAAGAATTGGTCGTAACCTTCCTGAGGTTGGGAGAGGAGAGAACGTTCAGCAGGATTCCCTGTTCCTCAAACCCACCATCCATGCTTCCCTGTTGAATGTTGTGTATGTATGAATGGAGTTGGTTTTAGTTGCATCTCTCGTGCGCTGGAGAATCCTGTGTTTCATTGGCTTACAATACAAAATTACATTTGTATCGCGCCTTTAACGTCAGGAGGATATCCCCGAATGCTGGTCTCATACACAAAGGATGACGACTTGGGTCAGGGGCTGGAACAGTAATCTCCCCCACCCACCCACCCACACACACACACAGAGCTGAGTTAGCACATCCAGGAGTAGAGAGGGGGGCGGACAAGGGAAGGAAGATTGCCGAGAAAGCTGTCTTGTGCAGTCCTGAGAGTCTGCTGATGGTGCGGCAGGATTACCTTCTGTTGCAGTGTTGGTAACGATACAGATTTATGACTGCGTCTAATTTTGCAACCAGCGGGAGCCCCTGAGATAAGAAACACAGGCGTCTTGCTGTTTCCCTGCAAATGTCTTGAAATCATTTCAGCTTCAAAGCCCCTTCCCAGCCATTTCTTCATACGAAAATCCTTCCCCTTTTCTAATCTTTTTCACTTGACCCTTACATTTGGTCCAGCGCCTTTTCACGTGAGGAGGGCATCTGGGGAAGCGCTTCACGTGACGTACTGCAAAGTGTAGTCACTGTGTGTTCTGTAGGCAAACTTCCTCACTGCTCTCCTTCATCCACGGGGGAATGGGATGGTGAATGGGATGGTGTGGGGGCTCAGGTTCTCGGTGAGTCCTACCAGCGCCATTGAGTATAGGTGACAGCTTTAAGGCAAGGGCGGCAATAGTGCCCACTAATGGTGCTCACTAATAGTGCCCACTATCTGGAAATTACTGTTCCACTATCTGCTGTCTGAGGCGAAAACCAGTGAGACTCAACCAATTGGGAATCAGTGTATTTTAAATGCTTAACACCCAGAGCATAACAACAAGTTAAATTGTCCTGCCTTACTGGCTAAATTCTGCTGTTACACCATTAAGAACAACTTCCATTTATTTATGCAGCGTGCTTTTATGTACGATAATGTTTTGGGAGCACTTCACAGTGATCGAGGGAAGAGGGAAGTGACCGTATGTGGGGATGGAACAGCCAGGTTTTAAGGTGGGATTTAAAGATAAATAAGATCGAGAGGGGATTAGCACCAAAATCACAGTGTCAGCCAAGCAGTGTTGAACAACACTCACACCTTAAGACGTAGGAGCAGGAGTAGGCCATTTGGCCCCTCGAGCCTGCCCCGCCATTTAATAAGATCGTGGCTGATCTTCTAACCTAATTCCATTTACCCGCCCTGTCCCCATATCTCTTAATCCCTCTATCCTTTAGAAATCTATCAACCTCAGTCTTGAATATGTTCAAGGACTCACTGAGCATCCACAGCCTTCTTGGGTAGAGAATTCCCCAAACTCACTACCCTCTGAGTGAAGAAATGTTTCCTCAACTCAGTTCGAAAAGACTGACCCTTAATTTTGAGACTAGTTTTAGGTTCTCGAACCAGGGGAAACAGTCTCACGGCATCTCCCCTATCAAGACCCTTAAGAATCTTACAGGTTTCTATAAGATCACCTCCCCTCTTATCCTCATCTTATCCTCTTATAAATGTGCAAGAAATTTGAAGCTTCCCAAACGAGATAGAGTTGGCGGGAGAGAGGGAGGGAGAGAGCTAGATCCAGTCGGCCTGCCTTACATCTCCGAGGCTGAGAAAGCTTTCCTTTTCGAGGGAGAGGAGAAAAATATAGATTTTTTTTTTCTCTTTCCCCCCCCCACCCTCCCCCAATTCCCTCCCTCCCTCCCTTATCTGAAAAATGTTAAATTAATTGCAGAGCAGTGTACAGTACAGGATTTGAAATGGCTTTAATTAGAATGTAATTTTTAATGAGGTATTGTAAATCACTTGTGTAATTGCATTTTAATTTAAGGAGTGACATGGTCCCAGTGTAGTTGGTGTTTTTTTAAAATACTCCCAGTCCGTGCATGACCCGAGTGCACGTTATGAAACGGAGCATCCGTAAATTTAAAAGGTTAATTAACGGTAACTGGTCTGTGTTTCTACCAGGAAAATGGTCACTAATGAGGAAGCAGCAGATATATATTAATGTCTTGTTAATGCCATCGTTTTGTCTCTTATCTTATTGTGCATGCACTCAGGGTTGACCCTGTACCATATGACACGCCGAAACCTGCAGGCCACACACGATTTGTCTGTGTCTCGGATACACACTCCCGAACAGATGGCATTCAGATGCCTTATGGGGACATACTGCTTCACACAGGCGATTTCACAGAGCTGGGACTACCCACAGAGGTTAAGAAGTTCAACGATTGGTTAGGTAAGAGTCCATTTCTTTGATAGCTCTTTTTGACCCTAATTAACCTCTGTTGTATAAATGCCATTCAGAACTGGGGTAATTAAATCAAAGTACCTGGTGATGGACTTGCTACGATGCAGACAGGACGCACACGTCTAATTAACACTCTTGTTTTCTTTTAAATGACCGAATATCAGAATCTGAGCTTTTGTATGAAATTTGTCTGTTGTGAAAGTGAATTTTTCAGTTTTGAGGGAGTTTGAGGGGAGAAGGCAGACACGGTTGGGGGGTGAGGGGGTGGGGGTCTTTTGATGCCTCTGAAATCTGCTGGTGCTTTGGGAACTGTTCTTATAATTTATTATTTTGCGTCTCCCTTTCCCCAGTAAGTTATTAACTAACCGACAGATAACGAAAAGTGAAGGAATGAATACTCATCTTTGTTGCATTGTTAAGGTTGAAAGTTGCATGTTTCAAAAGGAGAAATGTGCTCTCCTGTGTCTTACCCATTGCAGTTTTGAAATAGTCTCTCTTACCGTGTATACACCAATAATAGGCCTTGTTTTAAATCTCCATTGGACAAGCCACCTCGATACAATTTCAAATCGATGTCTTGGACACTGAGTGGGTGCAGTGAGATTCGCACCAATCCCTGAGACAACCCAGACTTCTCCGCAGACCTTGACGTTGACTCCCTTGTCAGCCTAGCAAAGCGATGTTGAAGCTGTTTGAGCTTGCTAGCATAATAATAATCCTCGCAATTGATACAGCGCCTCATCACGTCTTCGAGGCATCTCAAAGCGCTTCACAGAATATACTGTAAAGTGAATTGTGCACAGCAGTCGTGGATTGAATGTATTTATTTTCTGAAGGGATTATTACCCCCGGAAAAACGATCCACCAATCATCTTAACACCTGGATTCCTACTTACTGCTAGATAAACAGAGGCGTGTGGAGTAAGGAAACTTGCCCAACACTTCGCCCTGCCTGGGAATTGAACCCAGGTCCTCTCGCTTGCGAGGCGAGTGCTCTAATCACTGAGCTACTATGATGTTCAGACCCGGAAAAACCCATGGAACCACATCCCATAAAGAGAGCGAGAGAGGAGGCCGCACTGGGAGCAGAGAGGTGCACCACAGTGGGGGGGAAAACAGCGCGAAAAAAAAAGAAATACACTAAATCTTTTTAAAAGAATGTAAAACGATCACAAGTGTTAGATATCACCCGACAGCCCATTGCCGCCTTCAGAAGTACAACGCTGAGAGAACAAGCAGAATATCAATCGAGGTGGCCATGCATTGCAATTGTTCTTTCTCTCACGAGCAAAGGGCCTTCATAACTCACTCAGTACACCCACGCGGTGCCTGTGAACTGAGGGCGTTTCACACTCTGGAAAGAACAATGGGAATTTTAGAAAGCATGGAAACAGGCGTAGGCCATTCAGCCCCTCGAGAGGTCTCAAAGAGGTTCACAGAATATACAGTAAAGGGAATTGACTGTATAGTTTGTGGGCAAAACGCGGCAGCCAATTGCGCACAGCAGCGTCCCACAAACAGCCGTGGATTGAGTGAGCAAATTATTGTCATTTTTTAAAAATATTTTTTGAAGGGATTATTACCCCCAGAAAAGTGATCCACTAATCGACCAACAACAACAACAAGATTACATTTGTATAGCGCCTTTCACGTTGGGAGGCCGTCACAAGGCGCTGGAAACTAACAATCAGGTTCCTACTTACTGCTAAATAAACAGAGGCGAGTGGAGTAAGGAAACTTGCCAACATTTCGCCCTGCCCGGGAATCAAACCCAGGTCCTCTCACTTGCGAGGCGAATGCTTTAACCACTAAGCTACAGGACTCCACGTGTTGGCTCACAGTGGACAAGGGACAGACAAAGCCTTTGGTAAACAGGATAGAAGCCTTCTCAATAGAGGCACAGCCTTGATTGCAGTTAGCAGCTCAAAAACCTTCTGCCAATGTACCGCATCGCAGCATGTTCTTCAAGGTCCTGGTGTGTGAGATGCAAAGATCTATAAAGCCAGGGTTTGGTCACATTGCCAAGGAAAAATGCAAAAAGGTCATTGCAGCATCTGCTGCACTGAATGAGAGCTTCTTCAAAGGTCCATTAATCCATCTGCAGTGGCCCAATTATTAGCTCAAACCCAACTGAACCTTATTCTCGAGAGAACTTGTCCGAATAATTTGGTAACATCTGTGCAAACCATCTTGCAGGTCATTCAGATTCGGGCAGGCGGAAAAGGGGCTTATAAGGAGGTGGTCAGTGATATCGGGGTGGGGGGGGGGGAGCATCAGACAAAGCTTCATAGCAAGCCACTCAAGTTCAAACAATATTAAAAACCTACAATACTTTCCCTGAATAAACAAACCATAATCGTAACTGCTTTTTTGAAGGTGGTGTTGCAGCCTGAAAACCACAATATAATTGACATAATCCACTAAAAATCTAATAAGGAAAAACTATCTCGTCGTGTTAAAATTCTGGAGTTATCCCCTGTGTGATTCACTGATCAATTTATGTGGTGCTTTTTCACTAATCGAAAACAAACGGATGGTTTAAAATCAGCTTACCGTGTATTGAACAGGGAGAGGTGGGGAAAAAAAATCACTGCAATGAAATTATTGCAAATAAATTACATTTCCTGCACTCGGAGTGGAATGTCCAGGGTAAATTTTAGGGCCGTCGAACATCGCTATTAAATATGTCAATGCGCGATTCTATTTGCCCCGAATAATAACCACTGGATTGCACTCGCATAAACAATGCCGTCTTTTTTAATTGCAACAGTTTTAAAAAATTTTGTTCCACACAAAATTATAATATATATATACATACACACATCACTCCATTTGCTGCTGCAGGTGATTCACATTGGATTGATCTCAGTAGGTCCCAGTGTTCATTGTTTTCTCCTGGCTGCACTTATTTATAATCTGAAGAGAAATGTGGCCCTGGAACTCCTTTGCCTGCACCGCTGTATTTAGCAGGACCTCGGATGGATTCCCGGCAGCAGCTACCGTTGTTGGCCACAGGCTCAGCGCTGCCGGGATAGAGTGTATGGAACGGGCACAAGTAGAATGGGCTGTGACTGGGTGAGGACTCGTCTCCTGGACGCAAGTTCTCAAGGCCCTGAAATACCAGGTCACCACAGTGACACGCGCAAGCGACAGGCTACATTGATGACAATACCTCACTTGTCCCTTCTCCTGGTGGGCCTGTGAGGTTTTTTTTCCCACATGCTTGTGGCTGGAGGAGAATAAACCAAGAATAAGGTGCACTGCTTGTGAAGTCTAGACAGTGAAGGTGTAGGATGTTCAACTGAGAGGCCAATCTTATCTGTGATCGAACCTCAGATACGGGACGCTACCCTACACAAAGGGCGCTCTATAAATGCAAGTTGTTGTTATCCTGTCCTCACCTAACGCTATATGCATGCGTGAAGTCCTGTAGCTCAGTGGTTAGAGCACTCGTCTTGCAAGCGAGAGACCTGGATTCGATTCCCGGCAGGTCACGGCAAAACCTTGGGCAAGTTTCCTTACTCCACACGCCTGATAATAATCCCTCAAGAAAAAAAAAAAATTGGTCACTTCAATCCACGACTGTTTGTGGGACACTGCTGTGCACAATTGGCTGCCGGGTTTTGCCCACAAATATACAGTCAATTCACTTTACAATCTATTCTGTGAAGCGCTTTGAGACGTCTAGAAGCCGTGAAAAGCGCTATATCAAATGCAAAGATTATTATTATTTCTAACAAATAACGTCCCCCACCACCCTCCCTCCCTCCCTCCCACAACCGAGGGGCAACACAGACCAGAGATTGAATGTGGAACCCTCTCGTTCTGTGTGGCTTGGCTTCAGAAAGCTCGGAGTTTCATTCACTCCGTTGGAACAAAATATCGTGTTGACAGTGTCTGAAATTGAAACAGGATGTTTTAAGTGAATCGCATGCCTGGAAAATAGTAAAGGTAGCATTTGGCTTGGGCTTGATGATTGAACAAGTTCTCGTTTGTTCATGTGGAGCCTTCAATCTAAACACAGCACTTCAATCAGCTATAGTTTACCAGAGGAAACCTCAGCATGAGATGATCTTTGAGTAAAATCCCAGCCACGTCAGTTGGATCTATTTCTGACAGACCATGCACATTGCTGGCAGTAATTCGGTCAAGCAGCTCTGATGATGTCTTAAACTTTGAGAGCAAAGCTCAAGTGTGCTTTTTTTTATGAACTTGCGACAGAACCGTAAGGTCGAACAACTCCCTTAAACTCCCTTTTAGGAGCTTGTCATTCTTTTTAAACTATAAAGTCGAACGTTTACTTAAATGCGATCTGGTCAGTGTTGCAGAGGAGAATGACTTGGAATAACTTGGGTGAAAGGGTAAAAGGAAGGCAGGGCTGTAAGTGGTGATGGGATATGTCACCCACATGGGAAGCACTGCATATTGTGTTCCTGATTACTTTTGACAGCTTAGTTACCAAATGTGCGCAGCACACTACAAATAGGGTAGTGAAATCGGTCAATCACTTTGTGGCTGTTTGTGAGACATTGCTGTGCGCAAATTGGCTGATGTGCTGCCCTACAGAATCCAGTCACTTCTCTTCACGGTAAACGTTGCAAAGCCCTTTGACACTACATCAAATGGAAGAGTTATTTAGTATTGGCGATTCCCATGTTATCGCCCCAGAGTGAGTACCCATTGTTCCCTACGTCGTCATTCTCAGGCATCTGTGCCACTTCCCCACAAAATTGCTCATCTCCTTCACGCAACCACCAATCTTTACACAATTCAATCTCTCAGTTATTCTGCATGTAATTTGTCCAGGAAATAGATTATTCATTATCATACCACCTGCAGGGATTCTGTTCACTGTATAACATCACTCCAATGTATACCTTATCTCTAACTCTAAGCTATTTCGTAGCATTCATTAACCCCCATGTAAGCACTCTGGAATATTTGCCACAGCTTCTGTGTTCAGTTCTGATCCACGTCACGGGCTCTGTGACTCTCATGTTAATGAAACGCTTTCCCAATGTGTAAGTAACACTGTTTGGTTCCATTTTTGCCTCCGTCCCACGTGATGCAATCAATCCCACGCGGCTTAAGCCGAAACGCTTATTCTCTTGCTTTCCCCCCCCCCCCCATCTAAAAATAATTGATTCGGGTTATGAATAGTTCCTGATTTGTCACTTATTGCACTGCAGTGTGATTGCAAGAGGAAAAAATTATTTGCTTCAAGTGATGGACCTATGTAATGAAACGGGTCCAACCAAGCCTTTAGATTGTGTTAGTTTGTTTGGTAATATACTGGCTCCAAGCCTGAGAATTCCCTTGACCAATGATTCAGAAAAGTGTTTCGGTTCAGCTTTCCGACTTTCATTTTCTCTGCCTCCTGATTCATTTACATGATATCCCCCCCACCCAATAATTTAATTCAAAATAAAATGTTGAAAGAGAATTTGAGGCTGCCAGAATGTCAGCCTGTGAACTCGGGGACGGTGGGGGGGAGGGGGAGGGAGGTGATGAAGAGAGTGTCTGAAATGTGGGTGTTCACAGCAAAGGCAGGAACAATAAATCAAAGTGTGTGTATGAATACAGTTGCGTTGTACTTTGTGCCCTGGGCAGCACAAATTAGACATTTTTTAACCTTAATAATTGCACTGAGGCAGAGAGAGAGAGCTGTAGTTAAGGATTTGTGCTGTTGTCTAGAATTGAAATGACATAGAAAACAAAGAACTAATCTGCAGATCTGGGAGTGCAACCACTGATTTTTATTTAAAGCTTCCTGTATTTTTTTTATAATATAGAGAAGCCACCAATTCTTAATGAAGATTCTACGTGTGTTTTTTTTCCCGGGCTATTGGGAGAGGTGGTGGGGAGGAGGGGTGGGGGGCAAAGAAGTGGGGTGAGACACCTTGAACTATGTCCTCTATCTGCTGCCTGTGTTGAGTTGACTCACTCACGTGTTTAACAAATGGCTCTGAGTAATGCATTGCTTCCCAAAGACACTTTCCCTCAACCTTCCCCCTCCCAGTTGAGGTATCTTGTCCAATCCACCTCCACCTCCCCTCTCGTTCAGTCTATTTAAACGCAGCAATTCGGAGTTTGCAGAATTTGACAAATTTCTGGATTCAGTTTTAACTTTGAAGTCTGTTATCTGTAGTTCTTAGAAGAAAAAAAGAGTCTCTCGATAAGACAGCTTCCAAATTCAAAGGAGTTAAAAGACTTTGGCAGATTCTGTACGCTCTGTTATGTTACTTTGCCTACCCCCCACCCATCCCGGAAACCAGAGAGGAAGAGGCTGTGTAAATCTTACTATTCCTTGCACTAATAATGACTTACCGCAGGGCTGAGGAACATGCTTGACTCACCTGATGTCTGTCAGTGCAGGCTGACATGGTTACTGCTCTGGAAACCAGACCGTTTGGTTTGTTGATCTTGGGAAAGACAGGGTGTTGTACCGGCTTTGGCTCAGTGAATAAAACTCCACCTACTCATGCCCAGAGGCTTCTCTGACACTGCGTACTTAACCATTTCAAGACTGACTGACCAAACAAACAAACAAACAAATAAATAACTAAACCAACAAACTAATCGGGTACCCAACCAGCTATTTGAGATATCCTTCCGACGTGTATCAAATGCAAGGCTTTTTCTTTATTCCTATTCTCATTTGATCAATTAAAAATGTACAATTTAAAATGTATTGTATGACCATGTCCTCATGGATCTGACTTTGTGTCATTGGCGTCTGGTGACATCAAACGAGAAATCTGGAACTCCCCCTCCCCCAAAAGGCTGTGGATTATGCCTGGATCCAATCACATTTTCAAGACTGAGGTGGATAGATATTTATTAGGTCCAGGTTTCAAGGATTATAGGGTAAAGGCGAGTAATTGGAGTTGAGGTACAGATCAGCCATGATCTTATAGAATGGCAGGACAGGCTCGAGGGGCTGAGTGGCCTCTCGTCAATTCTAGATCTATTTCTGGCAAAGTCCAGGGAAAAGCCTGGAGATGAGAGAGAGAGAGATCCATTTCAAGGTGGCCGTGTCTTAGCAAGATCGTTAGAACTGAGGTTAGGGAGCATTTCTTCACAAAGAGCTTTGGTGAAGATGTGAGATGCTTTACCTTAGAAACACTGTAGAATCAATAACAATAAGAAGATGTTTAAAAGAGAGATGAACAGATACCTGGGTTTTTGAGGTTATGGCAAAAAGCATTGGGATTAAATAATCTACACAAATCTAATAAACTGGTGGAATAGACTCGAGTGGCTGAATGGCCTCCTGTTCCTGTTTTTCCCCTGTTGCTTTCCTGTAGAAGGGAAATTGAATAATTGAGGAAATAATTAAACAAGATTAACAGTGCTAAATGGAAACCTTTGTTATAGCGATGTTATTGTTGCGGCAATTGTTTTGTCAGAGAGAAAGCGTTTCTCTAAACCTCCTCTCTGCCCTTTGCATATTCTCTGAGCGTATTTTAACAAGGGGAAGAAGGTTATAATTAAGCGCTTCAATTGCAATTGCAGGAAACCTTCCCTATGAATATAAAATAGTCATCGCTGGAAACCATGAGCTGACGTTTGATAAGGACTTCATTGCGGATCTAGTTAAGCAGGACTACTACCGCTTTCCATCCGTCTCCAAGTTGAAGCCAGAGGACTTTGACAATGTTCAATCACTCCTGGCCAATTGCATATACCTGCAAGACTCCGAGGTGACGGTGAAAGGATTTCGGATATACGGCACGCCCTGGTGAGTTTACACAATGTTTCTTTTAACAGAATTTGCAATATGTGAATCTACTTATATTTTAAACTGGACTCTCGTAGCTGTGTGTAACATGTACTTGCATTAACTCGACTGAACTCCAGGAAGCTCGGGAGTATTTATACGTAGCACCGTTTTCCAACACATTGCTTGCTTGCTCCTTGCAGGTTTTGTTCAATGAATTTTGCAAACAATGTCCCCAATAACCACTGAGCCCCCAGGCCAGCCTGTTCAACTTTGACAAATTCCAGGTAAAGAGCTGTCATGACTCTGGTTATGGCCCCAATTCTGGCCAGAACCATTTAGAAGGAACCAAAGTAACCAAGTAACTCAAGGTTTGCATCGGCCCTTTGAAAAACGCAAATGCATAGTCCCGCAACTCTCCAAAGTCAAGTTGTAAATCGAAACCCAGTGCCTTGTAGTCACTTCTACACCAGGTGAGGACTTTAAAAGTGACACCTTATATAGGCAATTGTTTATTACCTACCAGCGTCCAGAGTGTTGGGTTCAAATCACTGGTTGGGACGTCTTCCCGACATGAAAGGCGCTGTACAAATGTAATTGATAAAGTGTCTTTCACGTCAGGAGGACATCCCAAAGCATCACTGTAAAGTGGAGTTACTGAATGTTTTGTGTAGAGACAACAATATACTTTGATAAAAATGCAGAGCTTTGAAACGGTTAGGTGAAATGGTTCAGATACGCAGCAATATCAAAAGATCGGGTGAACAAACTCGGTAAAACATTCCTGGGAATAAGGTAAATTACAATGGAATCTGGACATCTGTAGCGGGTTAAGATCGACAATAATTCGGGCATAGCAGTAAACGTTATCATTCCTCTGCCTGTGATCCTAGATAGACAGGGGAGAGAGAAAATACATTTTCCGATACACCAGAATGCAAGGATTATTATTATTATGATGATTACGATGATGATGATGAGAAGCGATTTAATGACTAAAGGTTTACCCAAGTTGTTTGCAGAAGAGTATTTTAACCAAGAAACGTGATAAAGGTTTGTGAAAAGAGGTGAATATTTCCGTGCGCCCATTTGTACTGAGGTGTAGATTTAACTGTCATTTGACAACCGGACTACATCCTAGGGAAAGCTTTACTTTCGCACAAAATCATCGGAAATCTCCTGGCAGTCTATTGTGTCAGAGCGGCTGTCTAACTTTGTCAGAGAGAGAGAGAGAGAGAAAAAGAGAGAGGTTTCGCAAATCAGAACTCCACTTAATTACAACGCAATTGTTTGTGAAGCCCATCTAAGAAATTGGGACGAACTGGTCAATAATAAGATTTCTCAGAAAACTTTACTCAACGGACAATGTGTACAAAAAGCGGTAGCCAACATTTCAGCCTGTTTGGTTTTGCGAACAAGATGACTTTTGATCATTCCCGAGAGGCACTTCTGGTAATTCTTGACTTGAAGACTGTTAGCCCATTCCCTTAGGTTCTTTAACGCAGAGCAGAGGTGGTGAGAAAGTTTGCGCAACCGTTTAAGAAACAAATCGAGCTCGAGAGGGAAAAGGATCACAGTGTTTTTTTTCAGCTGATTTGTTTAAGGTAGAAAAACCAAGTAGGTTTGTGATTGGATGTCATTCCAGTGCATTTTCTATCATTACAAGTTATTGAATATTAAAAAGGACTGAAAGAAAATCAATCTTGATCAACAAAATGATAATCCTGGCATCTGATACAGCGCCTTATCACATCTTCGAGACGTCTCAAAGTGTTTCGCAGAATATACTGTAAAGTGAATCGACTGTATATTTTGTGGATGAAACACAGCAGCCAATTGCGCACAGCAGTGAGTGGCCCACAAACAGTGGTGGATTGAGTGACCAAATTATTATTTATTTATTTTTTTGAAGGGATTATTATTCTTATTCTTATAGCAATCTTGTGGCAAAGCAGAGGGAGGTTGCAGATGTTATATGTGACCAACGCCAACCTGTGTTTGTTAAATATTGGAAGCTGTTTCCTGAAAGCCTAAGTACCTGTGCACCTTCACATTCATCTCGAGCCCAGAAACATATTCTGGCAGTGCCTGCTCTGTTTGGTGACCTCAATATGTCAGGACTTGGTTTATTCACTGAGACGTGCAATTACTATTAGCTTTAGTGTGGCTGTCAGCCAGTGTAATTATGTAATTCAATACCAGTGCTGCATTACAGTAATATCTAGTCACGTACGAGGAGAGCAGAGGCCAGGACCGGCTTGGCTCATGTTTATTTACATTAGTAACATCGGAGACCCTTTTTTTTTTGATCCTGCATGAAAACTCTCTGGCAGGTACAGTATGAATAAGGGCTGAATCGATTTGAGTTTAACTCCTGGAGGTGCTGAGACTAGGCAGCTTTGGCAGATCTTCTGTACTTAACAGGACTGGAGTTCACCTTTTGACATTTTTTTGTGATTTAATAATTGATTTTTTTTTTACAAAGCCGCTTCACAGAGGAGGGTGGTATTGAACCCACAGAGCTACAGCACGGCATCTGTCAAACTGTAAACCACGAGCCTCAATCAACCCTCGTTTCTAATGTGCTGGTAATTAAGAGCCAAATGTTTTATTTCTTTTGTCAAAGCCTCACTTCGCTTTTTGCAGGACAGTCACCTCAATTTCAAATTCTCCAACATAAAGGAACGGGACAGTAGGGATGTTGCTGTGTGTAAAATTGGCTTCGCCTAAAAAATACACAGTCACTACACTCTACAATAAAATCCTGTGAAGGGCTTTGAGACATCCCCTCAACGTAAAAGGCTCTGAGTCAAATGCAAGGATTATTTATTTGATAGGAAGATGCAGCATGTTTTTCTTCCTTGAGAGAAGTCACGTATTAACTGGAAATCAGTCTTGGAAAATGTATCCAAGTGAATCCCTTTCAGTGTGTGCGTGTGTGTGCGTGCATGTGTGTGTGTGTCTCTCTCTCTCTTTCTCTCTTGCTAGCTCTTTCTATACATTTTACTCTTGTGTAAGTAGGTAAGACCTCTTGTGGACAGCAATCCATGACCCATTTTGACTGAGTCGCCCAACGCATTCATCAAACTAGATCAACTGCTTCAGAAACTCTTCACAGCTTACAGGAGTCTGGCACAGCATTTGACTCTGATGGGGCCACATGGCTGTGGCTCATTAACTGCTATGGGAAGCTTTAATAAAATGTCATTCCCAAAAAGGGAAAGTGAATCCGAACGAACGAACCTTCAGGCCGATGTGAATGAGACAAATCCCCATGACCGCTGAGGAAGGGGGCCTTCAGCCCTTTTGTGTCACAAGGGATTCAGCATATCAATGTTTTAGCTCTAAAACCTTGACTGACTTGTTTGTGGACATCGAAATATGAACAAACAAATAGCGCACTGCAAGTCAAATAGGACTGGCCACTGAACGATCCATGCTGTACAAACCTCTGTTGGGTTACTGGTCTGACAGCTGATTTCAATAAATAGCACAGCACACATGGGTATTGAACCTATCGGCGCCAGACTGTCAGATCACATAAACCCGCCGTCCACTGTGCCCAACGTGGCTTACGCTTCTCTCGTCTCTGGCGCTGGCAATCTCGGTTCGAGATTAGTATTTGGGTAAAATAACTGTATTCGGAAAATCCAGGAGACAGACAGTAGAAGCAGAAAATGTTGTTTGTTTCAAGAACAAAGCAGATAGATTTCTGCGAGAAAATAATGTCTGGAATAATACCGTATATAATCTGGGACGCGACATGTCAAGCGACTGCCAGGATGGGGGAAGGCAAACTAGATGGACTTCGGTCTTCTTTCGCCAGCAAATTCTTACGAACACCGAGGAATGGTTGCAGTGTGGCTTTGTGGGTTTGGAAACATCTTGATATTCGAAAGGGGTATTTAATAGCCGAGCTGCAGTTAGTGAGAGCCAGGGTGATGGATTGGCTGTTCGTTTGCTCTTGCACGCAGAGGGCAGGGTGTGAAGCGGTAACTGTCTGCCTGACTGACTGTGATTCCTTAAAGAACATTCACTTTAAAGGTTGCTAAATGTGACAATGGCACCGGTCGAGAGTTCCACTTTGCTTCTTGCTCTAATTGGTGCCTCAGGAAAGCTGAACAATGAAATAAAAAATATTCGGACGGACAGACAAAGGTGTGGGGGGGGATGGGGAGAAAGAAAAAGCAATGAAAAATCACAGCTTTGTTGCATTATTTTCCCTCCAGGATGTTAGTCGATTGGCGGGTCGCTTTTCCGGGAATAATAATCCCTTTAAAAAAAATGTGGTCACTCAATCCACGACTGTTAGTTGGACCCTGCTGTGCACAATTGGATGCTGCGTTTCGCCCACAAAATATGCATTCAATCCATTTTACAGTATATCCTGTGAAGCGCATTGAGACGTCTAAAAGACGTGATTGGGGGCTGTATCAAATGCAAGGATTATTATTATTATATTATTATTTTGCTGCGAGGAATCACAGCTCATCCTAGAAATAGCTTGTGCCACGAGGTCAGACTGTTTAAAGTGCAGCATTCCATTTGGTCAGTACCTGGGAAGATGTTTAAGGTCAGGGAAGAAAGGGGTTCTATGGGCAGTGTAAATTGTTAGAATAATCGGTGCCAGATTTTGAATCGTTTAAGTGGCAGTGTCGTTTGTACAACCATTGCATTTTATCCACAATGCACCCAGGCCCCAGCCCCCAGCCTGAGAAGCTGGTCTCTGGTTTCCCCCGGGTTTCCAACATGAAAGATGCTACACAAATGTAATCTGGTTGTTGTATTATTTACTCTCTACACTGCACAATCCACGGTCAAGTGGTAAAGCAATGACCACGCTGGTCTATCTCGTTTGCGCAATACGTTACATCAATAACTGCAGCACAGTTCTGAATAATAATAATAATAATCCTTTATCTTTTCTGACAACGGTGTTTCAGAACTTTGTATGTCCAAAGATCGTTCCTGTTTAAAATGGGGTGGAAAGAGGTATTTGTTGTGATGAGATGATTGTCGTC